TTTCATCTCTGTACTGTTTTATTGGTCGTCTTTAACGGATGTTTGTTTTCTCCTCTAGCGACCAGTGAAGAGAGGTCTTGTCCGCGGTAAGCAGGATATCTCAAGAGGCTCTGCCCACGTGGTCGGAGAGTAGAAAATGCGGCAGATCCCCTCTTCTCGTTCTCTTTCCGTTCTATAGCAAGTTGAGATCTGGTCTTGGCACTAGTACAGTTATCACCTGAAAAATTTTTCAGCTTTGTTCTCAGAAGTTCTTTTTCCATAAAGATTTTATCAGGTCAAGTTTTAGTGTTTTGCTCAGTTGTGGTAATTCTAAAAGTTGAGTAATAAACGAAATAAATAAGATATATAACAGTCATAAAGAGCAGCGCAGCTGGAGCTAAAGAAATTACCGCTGTCTAGAATCATTATAACTACCAACGTTTTTCGCAATTGTCGATCTTCTAACTCATTCATTCTCAACTGTCGTGAAGTCTTGATAATGTGCCTTAGTAGTGCTACAGCGAACATTTTCCCAATTTAAAAAATTGTCGATTAGTCGCAAATTAACAAATTTTCAAAGTCTCAAAACTGAAAAAATCTAGAATGTGAGGTTTTTGTAATTCTAATCGTTTTCAAACCAGCAACACTTAAGGCATTTTTTGCTTGCTTATCTGGAAGGATCAGTTGAAAAAAAACCTATGTCTACTTCAACAGCGAAAATGCTAAAAAAATTTTTATTTAAGCTGAAGGTCTGCGTTTCTTACTTTGCGTTACACCTCTCGAGAGATAACGGATAAGAAAAAGAAGTGTTTTGAAACTTGCAAGATATTCTCAGTGATTACCATTTAAAGCTTAAGCTGCTCAAGCGAGATATCGCTTTTAATTTCTCGCAGGTCAAATGGTTTTGGGTGGTCATTATGAGATTATTTTTTGCTTTTTAGTTAGCTTCACAAACTTTATTTTTGATCGTCGTTGTCGTAATAGCCAACTAATAGGCGGCCTTCAAAACTGATTCGTAAACTTTTGAAAAAGTTCCTCGTTTTTCTCAAGACTTAGTCGTTCAGCTATTTCTTTGGCTTCAAAAAGTTTTGCAGCTTTGAAGATTCACTAGAATTAGCTTTTTTAATTATGCTAAAACTTAGTTTTTTTACTGACGATTATAAAACAGCTAAACGTTTTACCCGTAAAAACTTTGGGTTTTTCAGTCTTATAGAGAGTCAAATAGCAGCACTCGATTGTTTGTAACATGATTCTAAACTAGTAAACTACAGAATGTTTAAGCAAGTTGTGGGTGGCTGTTTAGATCTGAATTTTGGAAAAGGTAGATGATACAGTTTACCGACAAGTTTCTTTTTATAATTTTTTATCTTTAAAACTTTGAAATAAAGCAAACTGCAAAAGTCTCGAATATTTGAATTTTTAAAGAGTTCGCAGAACTTTTTTAAAAACCTAAATATTTCAAGTTGGAAGCTCTGAAAATCGAGATTTAAAACGAAGAATATAACACCTATTTTATGCTACAGAAAAATGACACTGATAAAGTTTTTTATCAACTTCATTTTCTTCTTTTTTATTTATTAAATAATTTGTTGTATCGAGTTAAAACTTTTATTAGTCTTATTGTTCATGCTTGTCGGTTAACCATGATTATTGAAGTGATTTTTCAAAGTTTGCTTTACTCCTATACTGCTGCTTATTGTTTACTTTGCTTATTTTTTTTGCTCCAGTTTAATTCTATGAAACTGTTTAATTTTATTCTTTAAAGCTGTTGTTATTAAGGTTTTGTTATTTTTAATAAGACACAGTCTTTAAATACTTTCTTCCCGGTTACTGTGTAGAACTGTAACCCAAGCTCTTCTTAAACTGAGAATATAAAAATAGTGATTCTCTTGAATAGATCAAGTAAGCGTATTGTAAAAAAATTAAATCTTACAGTATAATCTCTGGTTTGGTGACAGCAAAAAAACTGCTCAGTAACTAGAGTATTGTAAGAAAAAAGTTTTACTAAATTGTTTTGTTTCTCAAAGAGCAAGCAGTTAATTTAGCTTAAGTAAAAGATGACTTGAAATACGTAAGCGAAAAGTTTATATGATACGTCACTAACGATTTTTATTCAAAAATTTAGTCTTGGTTTTTCCAAAGTGGTTGAAAAGCTGGTAGAAGTGGCTTAGATTTCCGTAAAGCTTTTTTATCTGCTTTTTTAACAGAGAGTAATTTGCAATAAAAACAAATCTGATATGCAGTGGTTTTCAAAACGCTGCGTTTTGTGCAGCTTGTGAAGATGCACTGTGTTTTTTGCTTCTGTTATAAAGTCAGATCTATCTAAGATTCATGTATTACTGTCTAACACATCCTCTTAACAAACGACAGTGGTATTCAAATTGATTTTTTTGAGGTCTGGCAACACGACTCAAAACTGTGATTTAGTTAAATTTTAAAAAATGAACCATTCCAAGGCAGTTTGCAGGAACTAGAAAATTGGTAACTGGTGAAAAAAAAAATAATGAAATAACCCACTTGTAAAAAAAGTGGATAAACAGTTGCCAGTTGTGCCATTGCTGTCTCGTGCCATTTCCAGACATTTTTCACAGTAAATTCAGAATTGAAGGCTTCATCCTGCTCCTGAATATATTTTTGTGTTGCTGACACATTTGATCTAAAAGCTGCTGCAATTAAGAATATCTTTAGTTTCTTAATAATGTGGCGCTCAAAACTCAAACATTTTTCAAATGCTGCCTTATCGTTCTCACCATGTCATGTTCTTGTCGTATGAAGTAATCTTCCAATAATTAGAGTAATATTTTAAATGTTTTTAAAAACTTCGATCTTATTTTATATGTAACACAAAAGGCTGGTTTATAAATGAAGTTGTTTGGAAAATTTTTTCAGCAAATACGAAGAACTCTTCAAGTAGTTATAGCAAGAAACTTTTGGTGAATCGACTTCAATGCTTTTATAGGGTTTTTCGACATTTGCAGTTTTGTAGAATTTATGAAAATGTCAGAAGTTCTTTGCGTTTTTGTTAGCACTATTGCGCTGTACCATAATTTTTATTTTACATTAGTTGCTGAGTTATTTTCTTGCTACGACTTAGTTAAAGTGTTTACAAAGGTATAACTATTAAACGATATGTTAAGAAAGCAAAACAAAATAAAGTTTTGTTTCTAAATGCGTCTAAGTTTTTTACTCTACCTAGTACAGCCTGATAATCAGCACTAATTTGCAGCAAAGCACAGGACTTTTTTTGGTTACTGTTGTTCTCTTCTAAAATTTTTCGCTCTTAGTACCATGCTAGAGGATCGCACTGTTTGTAGCAGCTGAAAACGCTAAACCAGGCAGAACTGTTTTATAAAAAAAGAAAAAAAAAACACTTTTTAAATTTGTTTCAGAGGCTGGTGAGCTTGCTGTAGATGATGTGTACGGCTGTTACAGAAAACCTGCTTCAAACTGCTTGTTACTTTTGAACCAATGAAAGTCACGCTATCATTCATAAAGATAAATACAACTGTAACTTTTAAGCATTGTTTACTTGAGAATAAGTCTGCTTATTCGTTTATTTCTGTCTTTCCAATTAATTCCAGATGTTGAGCAAGTGTACATTTTTTTTAAAGAATTTTCAAAATTAAATGAGTTTTTCAATTATAAGATCACTGTAACCAATTAATGCTGTCTCGACCAGCCGTTGACAGATATCTCATTTGCACGCTAAAATAACTCGAGCTCAATTCACATGACATTCTTTCACGTTTCTGTTACTTCCAATGTTTGGTTGACTCTTCAAACTCTGTTCTACAAGTGAGGTCTTACAAAGAGCAACAGAACGAAGGATTTGTGCGTCAGTTATCGCACACCAAATTCCACACTTCTTTCATTTGATCTCGCTCATTCTGTTGTGACTCCCTAAGTTAAAACTGGAAGTTGAAAAAATTCGCTTTAGAAGGAACAGTGACGATAAGGCTAGAATGCGCCAAAATATTAGAAAAGAAGTAGACACCGCGATTGTCTTTGGAAAATTGTTCACAAAAAATCTACAAGATTTTTCTTTCTATTTAACGCGTTTTCTGGAGTAGATTTAAGAAGCTGCAGGAAATGTTGGTTTGATTTCATTTGAAAAGTATATAAAAGTTAAAGAGAACTGTGAAGCTTTTTGCCTAAAGAGCGAAATTTATAGAATAATTGCAGCTCAATTTGAGGTATGTCTGTGCTGCAAGGTACATTACAACTATAGACTTAATACCTACCTACAACTTTCGTTTTGCAACTTCCAAATTTACAAATCTCTCAAACCGTAATTTCGCTTTTTAACAAGAATATACTTCCAAAAATTTTTTTGTAAAGTAAGTTAAAAAGTAAATAGTACGTTTTCACATACAAAATACTAAAATTTTTTGCTGTGGCCTTTTATGTGCTTAATCAACGTAAACCCACCAACTTTTTCTAGTACCCCCTTAAATTAGCGGAGGATATAAAGCTTCATACGAGACAAGTGCTATAAAAACTTGTTGTAAATAAAAAAACCCTTTTCCAGAGACAGTCAAATTAAGTAAACACTGCACTTTTTCTATATACCTCATTTTCTTTCTGCATTTACCAGTTTCCTATAAATTTTTTGCAATTAAATGACTCTAAGTGGAAGCTTTTCATACAAGAATCAAAGAAAAGATGATTTTTAAAAAATTAAAATTTTTCGTTTGATGGCTGTTCAGAAAGCATTTGTCAACCAAAATGAGCCTTTCAAAACCAAAAGCGTAACTCTTAAATGCTGATATAAACAGGTCTAGGTAACTAGTTGTTTCGTAATAAAACGACTGCTGGCGGTTTCCATTGTCGCTGAACGAAGTGTCTTTGAATAAGTCAAAAATAAGAATAGTGAAAATAGTTACAGGTACAATTGATCGACAATTTTTTTGAATTTTGGTAGAAAAGCTTGTTTAAAGAAATCTATTCATAAATCACGGCTTTAAATAGCTCTGAAAGATTGATTTTCTCAAAAACATTTAGATTACTAATCTAACTATTTTAAGCTTTCTGGAAAAATGTTGGTTTATTGATGTACACTGTAAAATAGTGAAAATGTGTAGAAAACTGGCATGTGTTTTAAACTGTTAAGGGACATCACAGTATCTTAAAGTGCGAAACTTTTGGCGAAGTTATAGAAGGTTGTATAGGTCTAAATTCAATTAACTGGATTCCGAAGCTATACTGCTGTTTCAGAGCGTACGCTTTCAAGACTGCTGAATCTACAGCGTCACAGTCGCCTCTTTGCCTAAATGTCCGTAAAATCTTGACTATCAGAATGCTCCAAATTTCAAGTTTTGCTGCTTTTTCCAAATTTTCTAACAACATATATACAACTTTAAACATTTTTTTGTTATCTTTGAACTATACAGCTAACAGTTTCTAAAAAAGCCTTATTTTTATTCAGCAGAAATATCTACATTTAGTTTTATGAACTACTGCTTATTTGTCTAAGCTGTTGTTCGAAATCATTAGTGTTCTGCTCTGATTCGAGAAAGTGAATTGCTAATAAACTTGTTGGCAGTTTTCGTGTTTACTTATGAAGATTCAGTTTGAATTATTTGTACTATTTCCACAAGAATGACTGGTTCTCAGATGTTTTGATTCTAAATTTAGAGGTTGTATTAAAAGAAGTAAAATGATGTATAATGACGACTGCTACTTGGTAATTGTTAAAAACGATTTGTTACAATAACGTTTAGTTCTTGTTTCAACAAAAAGCAAAAAAAAAAAAAACACCCGTAGTCACAGTGGTCGAATAGTAACTTAATAATCATTAATTCCTTAAAACAGAAATTTTTCTTTTTTGATATAACATCAATATCTTTTTATTTTCTTTCACATATCTTCAGTGATAACGAACGAACTGGTATCTACGAATTTGAAAGAAGCTGTTGAGGTGGTATTGGTAAAAGTCGTCTTGTTAGTCGTTTTTTTCTTGCTCTGTAATCTTTAACGGGGAAATTTTGACGCTCTGGACAAAAGTTTCCACTGTTGTATAAAACAGAAGAACTTTGTGGAAGTAAACTGGAAGGAACAACAGGTAATTTTCGCGTTTCTGAATGATGACCACGGTAGATTCTTTTGGTAAAAGTTGAAACTTCTTCATAGTAGCTGATATACTTCACTTCATTACAACCTCCGTCATCCTCGTCAAAACTATGTTGCATTGATAAGTCACTATCTTGTTGCAGGTATCTTTTTTCTGGAACCGTGTATGCTTTCTCAGGTTCTTCTGTTTGCTGAAGATTGACAACGTGCTGGTCTTCTTCAATCTCAAACGGTGATACTGAGATTTTTGTGGCAACTGAGGAGCTTCTGCTATCATTATTCGTTGAAGTGTCGTTGTTGCTTTCTACAGTGGTTGCTTTGCTACTCCTTCCAGGTGGATCAATACCATTGCACTGCTGAATTTCCGGCATTTGTTTGATTAGTGTTCTCTTGGAACGCAGGTTTGGGTTTATAACAATGTGATTTGGCCTTAACTTTCGTGCTGAATTCCACATAGTTTCAACGTGCCAATACCAGTGCCAATAAACATAAAGCTAAAATTTCAATTATTGTCTGGTATTTTCTAGTGATCTTTGTTGAGTTTATAAAAAAATAAAGTTAAAAAGAAATTTTCGGTTCAGATTCCTATTTTATAACAAATGATTAGATGTGTTTTTAAATAATTATAGGTAACAAGCAGATGAAGATAAATATAAGTTGATACCAGGAAGGAATTCATTGCAGTACCAAAAATATAAACAGCTAAAGCAAATAGCGAGGCAGCATTTGGATAACCAGTAAATATCGGTAGAATACGTGGAAGTGCTGACAAACTTAATATGAGCAGACCAATTCCGTAGGCACTTTGCTTTAAAAAAAAAGTAAAAAATTCTTAAGAAGCTGGAACAGTGTGGTAAAATAAAATGAAAACTTTTTGTTCTGATATTATAGGTCAACAGGCTAAAAGTGCTTGGAAAAAATGACTTTGTTAATGAACCCACTTGTATAAGTAAAGGCCATAATGCACACGGTCGAGGCCGAGACACGAAAGCAAATGGTAAACTGATAAGAAGAGCTAAAATGTGGCAGATACACCAAGTAACCCTGCCATAACCACCATCAAGATGTTGAGCAACACAGCTTTCAATACCCCACAATGAGTGAAATAAGCCAATATCAAAAATAATCACATCAACGCCAACCAGCAACACTGGCTTTGTGCCATTTACAAAGTCGCAGTGCAGCACCTGCAAAAAAGCAATAAGAATTAACTTCAGTCTTTTAGTTGTTTTCTGAACTTTTTATTCATTAGAGATTTATCAGTGATAGTTACAGAGGGTTACTTTATTATTATATATATACAATATGAAACACGCCGTTACTTTACTGTAACCTGAAAAGTATAAAAGAACCTTTTTAAACCGAGCAATAGAAAAAACATGTTGAGCAGTAGCCCAGATACACACGCCAAATTGGATTATGCCGATGTAAAATGATATCTGAGAGTTTAGGTAACGATGCCCAATAATTTTAGAGCTTTCATCGCATACCACAAGTAACTTCATTCTCGTAAGCGATAAATCTGTTCAATAAAAAGACGGATTGATAGATTCATTTTCTAATTAAGCTATCTAACTGAACTATCAGATAATAGTAATTTCAGATCAATACTATTAGGCATCTGCCATATCACCTGAATCATGTCGCTAGAATTTCTCTATTTGAAAATTACCCCCAAAAAAATTTACAATTGATGTGGCTTTCAAAACTGTTAGAACCAACCTGGCAGGTCGCATTATGTGCTAAAAAAAGCGTCTAGTTAACGCTTCATCGTCGTCTTCTGTCAGTTGTTTAGTCTGAAAAGTAGGAAATGTTATTGACAACTATCGGTTAAGCCATCTTTAAGACGTTCATCAGCTGAAAGTATTAAAAGAAAAATTTTGAAAGAGATAAATTGTTTAAATTTAGCTAAAGCCAATTTAGTCGATAGTATAATACAGTGTAGAAACGATTGGTTAGTTAAACAGTAGCGATACAAAGCGAAGAAGAGGTAGCTAACTCTTTCGTATTTATAAATTTCTTTTTGAAGCTCAAAAATAAAGTAGAGCAAAGCAGGGAAAGAACAGAGTTTGTGATATACTTAGTGAGAAAATAAGTAAAAACTTAAAACACCGACAATTTTGATAATGTTAACGAAGACGGTAATATTTTTTTTGCCGTCTAGTTATTCACTAATTGCAGAACAACTCGACAAAACAAGCTTGAAACAAAAATGAAATTTTAGGTTGCAGTATGGATTAGTAAAGTGCAAATTACACGACTATTCTTTTGCGTACTCAGTCAGTTTAATTTAGAATCAACCGTACATTATGCAGCTTATAGAAATATCATAGTTTTATTAATTATTAACCTGAACCAAAAGTGCTTTAATTAGAGCCGAATAAAAGGGAATAAAGACTTTATAAGTAGAGGATTGGCGGATAAAATCACTGCAACAGTTTTTATTCTACACTATAACACCAACTGTTAAGCACTAAATAACATAACAGTTATGAGAGGGAAAGCTATTACCGCATTAGCTTTAATAGTCAAATCCAGCAGACAGCAATTTGTGGGAAACCTTCCTAAGACGTAAGGAATAACAACTAGAAAGAGATTTTCAGATTTTCATTTAATCTCAACCACAGATCTCAAAGCATATACTAACAGTTGTTTCTGTCACTAAAAAAAAAAA